CGTTTTCACCATGAAGACAAGTCCAGAGGTCAAATTTTTTTTTTTCAAAATAAAGTGCACTACATTAACTTTAATTTATGATATATATAAAAGTGTCAGACTTTCCGGAACACTTTCAAAATTTAAGTTGAAAAAGTCAATTTTTTGTGAAAAAGTTGTCATTTTAAATCCCCCCCTGTGGGCAGGTTAAGTGTCAAATTTACAAAAAAAATATACCAAATGATAGGTAAAGACATCAAGCATCTATATAAAAAAAAAATATATTGATATATTCATTTTTGAAAAAGTTACGGCAGTTTTTAGTAAAAAAAATTGAAAAAATTTCGAAAATTAGCGATTTTTAAATTTGTAATTTTTTTGGAGGTTTCCCCCATTTACGGGGAACGAGGGAAATTTTTTCAATTTTGAAGGGTAATGTCTTCGACTAGATACAATTTGTGATCTTTTGACGTATCGTTGAAAGAAATCCGTTCAGTGAGAGCTGAGAAAAAGTGGTAACAGACACAAAAAAAAAAAAAAACACATCTTAGTAAAACCAATACCTTCTCAGCTTCGCATCGAAGCTAAAAATATTATTTTTATTCGTTCATTTTTGAAAAAGTTATGGAAGTTTTAAGTACAAAAAACATCCCGATAAAAGGTAATTTTTATCGTAAACATTACATTTTTTTTTAATTTTCGAAAGCCATTTGCACATAGAAGATAGGTCGTCGGGACAAATTTTTTTTTTTCATTTGATAGTATATAATATAATCTTCGATTTGATATATGTTTAAAGGACGCAGTATTTCCGGAACATTTTCAAAAGTTCAGTTGAAAACGATCTATGTTTTTTACAATATTTCAAGTTTTGAACGCCCCCTATATAAGGGGAAATTGTCCAATTTTAATAAAAAGTATGTCAAATGAAAGATGTACTTATAATGTATTTAGAAAAAAAAAATTTGTGCTGATATATACATTTTTCAAAAAGTTATAGCATTTTTAAGTTGAAAATTTAAAATCGAAAATCGAAAATTTTAACACAAAAATAGTGTTTTTTTAACTACGGCAGCCGTTTAAATGTAGAAAAAAAAGTGTCGGGACAAATTTTTTTTTTTCATTTTGTAGTACATAAAATAAGCTTTAATTTGATATATGTTTAAAGGACGCAGTATTTCCGGAACATTTTCAAAAATTAAGTTGAAAAAGTTATTTTTTGTAAAAAAGTTACTATTTTAAATCCTCCCAGTGAGCAGAATAAGTGTTAGATTTTCAAAAAAAATTATATCAAATGAAAGGGAAATATCTAAGGTTTCAATACAAAAAAATATTATTTTTATTTGTTCATTTTTGAAAAAGTTATGGAAGTTTTAAGTACAAAAAACATCCCGATAAAAGGTAATTTTTATCGCAAACATTACATTTTTTTTTAATTTTCGAAAGCCATTTGCACATAGAAGATAGGTCGTCGGGACAAATTTTTTTTTTTCATTTGATAGTATATAATATAATCTTCGATTTGATATATGTTTAAAGGACGCAGTATTTCCGGAACATTTTCAAAAGTTCAGTTGAAAACGATCTATGTTTTTTACAATATTTCAAGTTTTGAACGCCCCCTATATAAGGGGAAATTGTCCAATTTTAATAAAAAGTATGTCAAATGAAAGATGTACTTATAATGTACATAGAAAATAAAAATTGTGCTAATATATTCATTTTTCAAAAAGTTATAGCATTTTTAAGCTGAAAATTTAAAATCGAATATCCAAAATTTTAACAAAAAAATAGTGTTTTTTTAACTACGGCAGCCTTTTAAATGTAGAAGAAAAAGTGTCGGGACAAATATTTTTTTTTCGTTTTATAGTACATAAAATAAGCTTTAATTTGATATATGTTTGAAGGACGCAGTATTTCCGGAACATTTTTAAAAATTAAGTTGAAAAAGTTAGTTTTTGTAAAAAAGTTGCTATTTTAAATCCCCCCCAATGAGCAGGTTATGTGATAGATTTTCAAAAAAATGATATCAAATGAAAGGTAAATATCTAAGGTTTTAGTATAAAAAAAAACTACGTTGATTTGTTGATTTTCCAAAATTATCATATTGATAAATATATCATTGATTCAATAGTAATGATATATTTATCAAATTGAACAATGAATTTATTATATAGATCGAGGTTCTTCTCTGGGTGTAAACTTCGTTATGGAAAAGCGTACTGAATATTTCCACCCGTTGGCGAATACGTACAGAGAGTGTCGAAACATTTCAACGAAATATTCAATATTATATTATATAATCGCTACTCTCTAACGAAACTGTTACAAAAAAACATTGCAATCATGAGGGACAATTTTTTTATATATATATATATATACAACTATAACGTTGTTTTATAAAAGTAAACTCGACGGAAAACACCGCCTTCTATGTGTGAATCGATTTATTCAAGACATCCTCCAGACGTTGATTTTCTTGACGGAATAAAATGGCCAACGTCGTTGTTTTCGTTTTTACAGAAAAATATTTAAACTGTAATATTGTGATAAACACGATTTACGACAAAACATTAATTTGAGTTCTGACTAATTTCGTTCTGTCGTTAAAAATAATTTGTTTTCACACAAACACATATTTGCCAATCGTGTCAATTGAAGGCCTCGTAAACGCGCGTATCTCGTCTCGACCTAAACAAATTTATCGCGAAATAGGAAAAAAATGTTTGTCGTAATTAGTATTTTTACAAAAAAATGAGTAAAAAAGTACATTGAAACGTACAATTAGCTCATTCCCGTGTAGAATCCGAGAACTAAAGTTCCACTTGATATTGAAACTTTGGACGCCATCTAGTTGTTTGAAATTTAATTACATTTCGTTAGTTAACTTTTATTCCGTTAGACTACGTTGACTCCGTTAGTTTATTTTGATTTCGTTAGTTTACTTTGATTTCTATTGGAAATTGAAAAAAAAACTATAATTAAAACTCGCTATAATCACCTTATTTTAATTACGCCATCTTACATACGTTTTTTCTATCACCGTTGGCAGCGCGATCACGTCGGTTTTTTAATCGCTACGAATCAAGACAAAAAATAACGTTTTCACTGGATGATTTGGACGTGGAGATAATCGTCTGTGTCGGCGATTATGCGAATTCATAACTGCCACTCGAACCGGAAAAATACTATACCTGAAAACGTTATCGCGTTAATGTTGCCGAAATACGTATTGACGATATCTTTTTAATCGTTTTCGTGGCTTTTCCAGTTGAATATTTTTTATACATGTGGGCGCACTACATTAACCGATAGACAAAATGAGTACTTAAATTTAATGTTTTTATCGAAGTAAAACTATAATTTCAATTATGAACAATCGTAATCAATATTACATGTAAAATCAAGATTTGGTACTGGTGAAATGACCAAATGATTTTTATATATTTTTTAGTGGACTGTATATAGTGTAAATTTAATAGGCAGCAGCTAAATAGAAATTAAACTAAAGACAAACTGCTTTATTTCTACGAATAACAATTTTAAATAATATAATGACTAAATAAAACATGCGCCATATAAATGATTTCCAAATTATTTTAAGACGATTAATGAAATTAAAATTTCAATTTACTACAATTGCTCAATTCTATAATACACGACTTCTAGAAATCGATTAATTAATATTTGTTTGATTTCTAAAAGTACAAGATATATTTAAACTAATTGGTCAGAGGACCAATAAGAACGATTTATCGACAAAGTTTGTGACGTAAGTAACAATAAGTGATATAAACAACTGATATTCTATTTGTGAGTTAGTTTAGTATAGTTTTTAAATTAGAAACCAGTTAGTTTCTGAAAAGACTAGACAAATTGAAGTTTGAGTGATTACTTTAAGTGCGAGTGCACACGAGAAATATGAAAAAATTGAATATTAGCGACTATATCGACAATAAATTTCAATAATTATAGTTAATCTTGCATGACATTTCGTAAACGAGCAAAACCATTTTGAGATTCGACTGGATAAAGTTTTACCGCCCGCCCCAAAAGAGTATTGGAACTCTAGTAATCACCACAGTCATCACTTGGAATCAATCGATTTCAATAATAATCGTAAGATTCTGACTTTGACTATTAAACGATATTTGTTCAATACGACAACAACGAAATTTGCAATAATAAACTTATGTTACCAATGTTTTACTAAGAAATTTGGAATCGACCGCGAGGAAAGGGCTACCGCATTCAAAAATATGTTATTTTTTTGTTAAAATTCTCGATTTCAAATTTTTGATTTTATACTTGTATAACATTTTTTTTTTTTTACATTAAAATACCTCGCAAGGGTCTGTAACGAGTAACTGTCGGTTTATACTAAAGTTACACGAATCCTACTCGTATTGAATTTAGATTTAAACTTGTTTGAATATTTTTGTCTGCCACGTTGAAAAAAAAGCAACTTTGAATTTGTTTCTTAATTCTTTTCGAAGTGGAAAAAATTCAAAATTTGTGTTGATTTCCGTCATATTGAATAATATAACGCAATTATATTTTTCCAGCGCCTTATTTTGATAATTATTATACTACTACCACTACCACGTTATCGTTTTTTATAATTTTCCCGAAAAAATGACTAATTTATTAATAATAGCGTTACAGCTCTCTATATTTTCGATGGATAAAGTGAATATTTATTCGAACGTTGCGATTGTGAATCACGAGATCAACTACCAGGTCGGCAATGTCGACGGAAAAGGCAATTCTTTTTATACTGAAATAAAATTAGTGGACTATACCGATCAATAATTTTCCTAAAACTAAACACCATCTGCAGATTTGCATCGATGCGACAGCGGTTTTAGTCACCTTTGGATATCGTCCGGACTCGCCATGATGCGATCCCACCAATGTGCTACCGTTTTTTTTTTTTTTTTTTTGGAAGCCGACAGCGTACACGGATTCGATAAAAATCTTATCTCGTAGTGGAGGACTGCTTCTTAACGAAAATATAAATGTTTTTCATTAACGAGAAACGCATATATATTTACAAATACTAAATACTATTAATTACAATAATATGAATTACAATAATATAAATTACAATGATAAAAATTACAATAATATAAATTACAGTAATATAAATTATAATAAATAAACAAAAACAAGTGTACACACGACGACGAGCAAAAAAGGTGAATTAAGAGGAGAGTGATCGACCGTCACACGAAACATGTCATGTGGTCGCGTACGATTTGTACGCGTGTCGGAGTGTAGGTGGAGGTGGTTGTGGTGGTGGTGGTGGTGGTACACGAGGGTGGGGGAAACTATATAATAAATAATTTACGCGCACGCCTTACGGGGCAAAGGTCGATGGCGATTTACATTTCAAACTAACGGTACTAACGAAAAAGTAATACGATATACACACATATCGTATATAATAAATATATATAATAATATGTATATTTACATTAAACGTAATAATAGCGAACACAAACTTTGACAGTAGATTTGGTTTTTTCTAATAATATATAAATACATTATATTTAAAAACATACAAATTGCTTATGTTTTTCTATTTTTTGTACACAATTAGTGGTAGTCGTCCGACGTCGACGGCAGCCCAACGAGCTCAAGCTTAAAACAACATCGAGCGTTTAGACACGTTGGGCCGTGGGGGTGAAATCGGTATTGGTATACAACAGAAGGCGGCGGTGGTCAGGAGGAGGAGTGTGTGGTGACACGAGGAGAGTACACGACTTTTGGTCAGCACCCGAGCACACGATTTGAGTTTGAAACACGCTTTGGGCGGTGCGACGTTCCACAATCGGCGTTACGGTTTTTTATTTGACCTCATACCTAAAAAAAAAAAAAAAAAACATTAATAAAAACCGACGTCGGTCGAGGGAAGGTATACAAACGCGCAGTTGGGTTTTTACAACAAACGACAGTACGCGTTTGATATAAAAAATTACGAATATATATATATATACAATGTATATATTACATTATATAAATATCTGTGTGTGTAATATATACATTATGTATGTGTGTTTATATTGCACATTTATTGAATTTATTATATTTAAATATATTATTTTAGCGCGCAAAACGCACCTTTTCTTCTTGCAAGCACCTGGACGCGTACGGTTTGTACAGATTTCTGTAGAAATTGTGTCTGACTATTTTCGGGCTGGTCTGCGTGGCGGACTGCGGCGCGCGGGACGGCGGCGACAGACAATCGTTGCGACGCTTATTTCTCGAATGCATTGACAAGTCCAACGCCTGCGGTTCCATCAGCGTGGCCGTTACCATGGTGTTAATGAAACTGCTGTTGCTGCTGCTAACATATAAAAAACAAGAGTCAATCATCAGTGAACGATGGTACACACGAGTGTGTGCGATTTTTGGATAATTTTTCCAAACAGTAAATAGAGAACACGACTATAACACAAAGTAGAGCCGCGTCTCGGCAGTGGTATTTTACAATTCAATTTAATACATGTATAGTATAATATATATATATAAATAATAATTACCTGGATTTGTTGTAAGAGTTGTCTATCGCAGAGTACGGCGGCCGCGTGAGAAACAGATCGGAGGATACCGGTGGTCTAGAAGCCGACTGAAAATGAAAATAAAATCCATATTAATAATTGTTGCAAACGTTAAAATTTGACACAAATATTACTGTGCATTCTTTCGAGGAGGTGGACAGCGTGCGATGCGCATTTATCATAAAAAAACGGTAACGATGCAGGCGTTCTGGGGATTATTTTCGTTTATTATAACTAAATACGTATACTCATCTCCCAATACTACTAATGAGTACGCGCGTTTACTACGTACAACCGTAACGGATCGTCTGTCCGTCACGATGACAAACTGACGAACCAGCGAATGTCTCTCTCTCTCTCTCTCTTACTATCTCTTTGCCGCCGAATCTTCCACCTAAAATTCAGTCATCGGACACAAACGACGATTTTGTATGCGACATAATTTTTTTCCTGCGGACTCCTCCAAACCTACAATATGGTTTTTTTTTCTTTATTTTCCTTTATCGACGACGATATCTCACCAGTACTGCTCTATTTTCTCTATCCTCCCTCCCACCAATCCATACACACTACGACGGCCGCCCCGCCATCACCACCGTCTTTATAAAGTAAACGCGCTTATAGCGTGGACGACCAGTGTATATATATATATATATGAGTGTGTATATATATATATCGTTTATTGTGCGCGGAGATTTTTTTCAACTGTTATTTTACACAGGCGGTACACGCGCGTAGGAACGAAAAAAGCACGTAAAAAAAAAAAAGGTAAATCATTATGCGCTCACCAATGCGGCCGGGCTGAAATAACTGTTGATCTTGCTGTGCAGGTCGGCCGGGCTAAGCCCGAGGCCTGGGTGTTCGGCCGCTGCCGCCGCCGCGGCGGCTGCTGCGGCCACAGCTGCGGCGGCCGACGCTCCCGTCAGTCCCAGCGTGGCGATATGATGGTGGGCGGCGGCGGCGGCTGCCAGGTGCGTGTTGTGTTGCAGGTCCAACGCGTTGCGGGCGGCGGCGGCGACGCCTACCATGTCGAGACGTTTGCTGCCGACGATGTCGAGACGTTTACCGACGACATCGGAATGTTTGCCGCCGACGATGTCGAGACGTTTACCGACGACATCGGAATGTTTGCCGCCGACGTGAAGACGATTACTGCTGCTGCTGATGTTGTTGTTGGTGGCGGTATTGGTGTTGTTGTTATTGTTGTTGATGTGTACGTCCGGATTGCGGCCGACTCCCGACGACCCGGTCGGGGGGGCCGGAAGGGCGGCGGCACAGGTGTCCGGGCTGCCGAATCGGGACCGGCTGCCCTCGCCGCCGCCGTCCGTGTAACACGTCGACGAGTTTTTATCCGATTCGGCGGAAAACGATCTGTCGGAACGGTTATCGTCGTCGCGGTGGTCTTTGTTGTTGTCGTCGTCGTCGTCGTCCGCCGCCGATTTGTAGCCGTCCGAAGACGAACAGACGGCGACCGCCGCCGACTTTTGCTTCAGCTCCGCGTACCTGGCCTCGGCCTTTGTCACGATGTCCTTGTTCTTGAACCAGCCCCGAAACGTCGACTCGGCCACATGCAGGCTCCGGGCCACTTCGGCTTTCGAGCACCCGGTCATCTTGATCCGGACCAGGGCGTCCACTTTCTGGTCGACGGTGAACAGCCGCTTGCCGTTGCTGTACGTGACGGGCGACTCTTTGCCGAGCCGATTGTTCGCCTCCATGGCGACGATGCGGAGACGGGTTCCTGAAAATTACAGGGCACGCTTTAGTCAAGTAAAACAATATGGAGAGGGAAGCGGCAGACCATGGGCAGTAGTGTAGGGGGGTAGTACCGGGGGGCGGCGGCTTTAGCGCATTTTGCACGATAAAGATGATCTCGGGGGGGAGATTCGTGGGCAACCTCGAACACGATTACAAAAGGCGTGCCGTAGGACAGACACTCGAACAAATTCGGCGTCACCATCGACGTCGACGAGGACACGAGATATACGTATGTATTGGTCGAGTGGACGTGGCCGCTACGGTGCGAAAAAAATAACGATCGAATAGAGAGGGAATAAAATTGCATTCTTTTTTTTCACGATAACGAGTGCTGCTGCACCACGGCTCGATCGGTTAGTCAATTTTTAATAACGGGGGGTGGGGACCGTCGTCTCGGAAACGAGTTTCACAGTTTTTAAGTGTCGGCGGCGGTCGCCGAGCGAGTCGTGTTTAAAAAAAGGCGAAATTCTCGGTGGCCGACATCGACACACGCGATATTTTTGTTTTGTTGGAAACTATTGTGGACGGGTCGCGAGAAAATCGTTCAACACACACGGGCACGGGCATATGGCGCAGGCACACACGCATATGTCGATCGCGTCAAACGTAATCGATTGGCGCGATAGAGACGCGCCGCTGCAACACACAAAGACGTCTTGGTCGTCTTACAGCGTAATGCAAAAAACACGTCCTTGACACCTTAACGACGACGGGGCATCGCGCGCGGACCAAATCGTTTCGTGTCGACTAATAATTCGGTCACCGTGTCGGTTTCGGCGTCGTTACTACGATTGTATCGTCGTGCGCAATTTAAAACACACGGCTTGAGAGCGACTACGCGAAACAACTATCGCAATCGACGAACGAAGAAGATTTCGTCCGACCGACGACGGCCGCGATCAACGCACACACGTGTTTTCAACAAAGCGCGCGCACGTTCATCGTCGTCGTCGGTTAGTCGTGGATTTATTTTGGTCGGTTAATCAAAATAATCATGGACGACGCGATCGGTCGCGGAGGAATTTAACGACAAAATCAATAGTGAGATACACACGCACGGCGTCGGTTGTGTGTGTGTGTGTGTCCATCGCCGAAGCTACGTCGACGTTTGCAAAAAGAGACCTTTGTGACACGTACTGTTCACCGCTCGCCCGTACGCGACAACAGTTTCGCGTTGTTTGTGAGTAAAAACGTGCCGGACCGTACGAGAGCGGAGTGGCGGGTCGACGACGGCTACGAACGCGGAGGGGAACGGGACGCGAAGAGCCGAGGGAATAAAAGAAGAGAGACCGATAGCGGCCGCGTACGCGACGGGGATTATTATTATGTACGCGGGCGGGTAGGCGGGCGGTCGGTCGTTTTTTTCGGAGGAAACTAGCGAGAATAGAAAAAAAAACCCAGCGGGTTTCGGACGCCTCTCGTTTTGTGCGGAGGAACGCTTTCGTTTACTCCGCACAAAACGATGGGGAGAAAGGTTGGGCGACACGGAGTGATGGTGAGAGGGTGGACGACACTGAGCATTGGTGAGAGGAATGGCGAGAGGGAGGGATAGGCGCGCACACACACGACCGTTACTACGACGTACGTCCCTGGACACAGTATTGGGATATTTATTTTTTTTTTTTTGCTCGCGCGTTTCTATACGCGTCATTGCTGCGTCTAAAAAGAGTGTTGCGTTCCAAAAAACACACACGCGGTATCGTCGTGTGTATTACATGTAGTATTACGCAAGGGACTCTTGGAGAATTTTTTGTTTTTTAACTTCTACACATCTACACGCGCACCGCGGCACGTTGCTCAAAGATGTGAAAGCACATGACTTTTTTAAACCGCACGCGAACGCGCATGAATATCGCGTCGTGTTGGAAACAACAAACGACACGCGTATTGTATTGTCAATTTATTATTTGAAAACGACATATCATTTAAAATCGCGGTATTCATCTTCTATGGGAAGACAAATTCCGCGGAAGCCGCGTGATGATCTTAATGAAAGAAAAACACGCGTTAAAGAGCAGGCGCCGCAGCGAAGTTTGTGAAAACGCGGTGGTCGGCCGAGAGAGCGAAACGACAGGAAAAGCGCGGGCGATAATTTACTATTAAAACTCGTGTTCCTCCGCCGCCGGGTGCGCTTTCGTTCCGCGATGAATGAAAGCGCACCGATTTATCGAGTAAACCCCGCAGTTATTCTTAGATGGCGTACACGGGGGGGGGGGGGCCTCGGGGAGCAGAGAGAATAAATTCAAAAGTTTAACGGCAAAAAAATGAAAATTCTCCATCGGTACAAACGGTAAAAATCACACGCGGCCGCCGTCACAGTCGAAATATATAAAATTTTCCTCTGTTTTATTGTCGAAATATACTTAAAAACGAATGGCATATTACACTATAGAATATTGTTGAATGTCGAACGAATTTTTTCGACATTTTGAACATTTTTCAAACAAAATTGCCGAGGGCCGTTCGTTTTTTATGTAAAAAAAAAATTCCCATTTATTGGCGGCCGTCGTCTAGTTTGGTGAAAAAAAAAACTATACCGATAAGACTTAATTTGATAATTTTATAAAAATGTACGCGCCAACAAACAAGGTTTCCATAAAATTGTAAATTCCTATTATTTTTTTTTCGTATAACAGGCACTTGTTGGCGGAAAAATAATAATAATAATAACACCAATGAGTACTCACCGATAACAATATCCAGCGATAAATATCAATCTAGACCGGTAACTGGCGTGCGATACGATTGTCAATATATCACCGTTGCGTTCAACGCGGTCGAACAGTCACCATGATCGAGTTAAAAAAACAATTAAAGCGGTAAAAATAATAAAACGAGTTTATTGGCGGAACACTGCGGGCGCGAAAAAAATCTTGCCGAAATATCTTTTGGCGCGTCGCACGAGAAAATAAAAAATAATGTTTTTCGCGTAGAGTTTATCAGCTGAACGCGAAACAAGACGAACCGCACAGAGTCGCGTACAAATGCACACTGCGTAACTCGCGCGTCCGGTGATGTGTCCCGAGGACGGTGGGTGCGCTGCGTTGACCGACGTTAGACCGACGTCCGCGAAACGTGTGGTGGTAATGAACGGCGGTGGTGGCGGCGGCGGCGGCCGCTGCTGTCGACCGTCGACGGTACTCCACCACTACTCCCGCCACCTACGTTACACGACACCGCCACTACTCCTGCCGACGAAGTTACCCGTCACGGCCACTACCGCCGCCGTTACCCATCACAGTCACTACCGCCGCACCACGCCGATCCCCACCTCCACCTCTTCCTCTTTATCGTTCTCTAACGCGGCCACCGCGCCGTCCACATTGGCCGTCGACGGGGGCGCGATCGAGCAACACGATCGTATATTATCTCCTGGACGCCGCGTATACGTGACAGGTACGTACGGGACATACATATGCATAGGCGCGTAATATAAACGTGTACACACGACGGTACTAGAGTGGCGCATACACACGCGCAACACATACTCACACACTCGCGCGCTTAGGTAGGACGGTGTGATGGCGGTCGCTGTGAGCGAGGAAAATTGGAAAATGTCACATGTCCGGCGGCAACGGCGACGGACGACCGCGGGACGTCGAGTTATCGCGTTTCCCGTACCTCGCCCCGACCGCGGTGGACTACGGTCCGAGGACACCCTCGAAAACCCCCGACCGACATAATAACAACGTACGCGCTTTGTTAGCGTGTGTGTGTGTGTGTGTGTCTTACCGGCACGCACGGCCTGTACCGTTGCCGTCGCCGCCATCACTATTGCCGTTGTTGTTGTTGTTTTTATTACGACTACACCCAATACGTGCGCGCGTACAGCCGCGATGTTATTATTGTCGTTGTTATGCCCGCGTTCTCTCTTTTATATTTATTTTTGCGCAAATACCTCACGTTAGCAGTTCGAGGCACTATACTAATGCAACATCACACACACACACACAACACTCACTCACGCACATACGGTCGGTCGCCAAACGCGCAATGATGCGATACGCGTTAAACTCGCGTGNGCCAAACGCGCAATGATGCGATACGCGTTAAACTCGCGTGGTACCGAGCGCTATGGGCACGAAATACGATTATTAAAATTCAGCGTATAACAAAGGGTCGGGTCGTAAAAACGAACCGAGTACGCTCCAGTGTCGAAGTTTGTTTTTCGCAGCTATAACTACGTATACATATATGTATAGTTATTTATATATATATATATATATATATGTATGGTTTTCGATAAGGCGGCGGCGTAATTGACTGAGGCGCATACGTTACGTTTGGGAAACCGATTGACCAAAGGTCACAGGAAAGTAATGATGATGGGGGGGGGGTAACAACGTCGTTACGGCGGCAGCAGTAAATACTTTGCGTTTATTCACTGGTCGCTCGCGGATATTATCGCACGATCGGCGCTCCCGATAATTACTTTCATCGATGGCGATCGCAACAACAATAATTATAGTAGAGAGAGTGAGCGAGAGAGATAATAACGCGTATAATCGTGTATGGATAATAACGACGGTTACGACCGACAACAACAGCCGCCGCCAATCGTTACGGACGACAATAACGTTTAAACGTCCCCCGGGCTAATATACGAAATGTCGTCCCCGGCAGTGGTTGCGCCGCGCATAATAGAATTTTTTAAAAAAATGTCAACGTCGCGTGACCCGTCCAATTTAGCGCGGGTTCGAGCAACTCGGGTCCTCACGACTGTTTTCTACCCGAGACATTTCTCGGGACAAGGTTCCTCGACGGTTTCACCATTTTTTTTTTTTTTTCAATAACTCGTCGGGTTCCACGGTGTTTTGCGCGCGCTACGAAACGAAATAACCACGACCGTTTTTCGTAGGTAAACACATAAATACACATTCATGGGAATTCATAACGATATAATATAAATGTGTGTGTAGCGTGTGACTATTCGACTGCCGCCGCTCTGTAACGACAAAAACCAACTACGTTCCTTTGGCGCCCGGCAAAAAAGTCGGCGTCGCTATCCATGACGGGGCCCAAACGGGTCCGAGGGCGACGACGGGGTTCATTATTCTCCCCCCACACTGGCACCCCGTGACAAACTCGCGCGATTCGTAGACGGGGACGTTTTGACACGCGCACGCACAAAGTTTTCGTCTCGGTCACAAACGTGATCGCCTATAACTCAGCGCTTGGGGGGGGTGTGTATACAGCGCGTATTTACCTACTACACCGCTACCATCGTGCAGGCAAAGGGGGTAAACCTTACACCACTACTACTACCGCTACTACTAATACTACTCGTCCACCAAAACGCAGATCCGCGGTCCGTAACCGCGTAGCAGCACGCACGGCCTTTGTAATGCCGAAACCTCACATGCTCACGATACCAACGGCGCCACCACCTGCTCGCCGTCAGCGCGTCGTTGTATCCACTACTACTACTGTTGTTATTATCATAATCGATGCCGTTGTCGTTATCGTTATTATTATATAGAAAGTCGTTGCCATCCGACCGTGGCTCCACCGGATGAATGTGTTTTTGTCTATTGCTCCTGCTGCTCCTCCTCGTCCATCAGTACCACCTCCGCCGCATTCGTTGCCACCGCCGTTTTGCCTTGGGGTCGTCGGCGGCGGCAGGACGCGATTGTTGGCGGTCAAACATGACTGTGGTGGGTGAGGAGGAGGAGGAAAGGAAACGTTTGCGAGCGAGCACACACACACACACACATACGCNGTGGGTGAGGAGGAGGAGGAAAGGAAACGTTTGCGAGCGAGCACACACACACACACACATACGCTCGCACACACGCATATACACGAAACCGCGACGGCCGACATTATCGTTGTTGTGGCCGTGGAGATAATAATAATTCTCGCGATTGTGTAACGTTGTCGCCGTCACGGTCGAAGCCGTGGGGTATGCTAAGCGCGTTGTACGTTTTTGTACGCGGTAAACAAATGATGCGATCGCTCGAGTACGCTCGGCAACGACTAGACGTGTACGATTTGCTCGACACTGCCGTACACGGTGTACACGAGCGCATACACCTTGTATGGCAGTACCGAGTGAATTTTTACGCGGAGTGTGTGTCACGGGTGTTCCGACACACGACACGCGCGTAAATCGAATGCACAATTCGTGTGAGAATTGTAAGAGACGTTACCTACGAATATTATATAATACTGTGCGCCAGCGTCTATTATAATAAAGACGCTCGCTCGCACACACAAACACACACTATCGTGTTTGTACGTGAAAACGAATATCGCATTCGTACGTAGAGTACGTTTTTTTACGGACGACTCGTGTGAGCGAATATGAACGTATTAAGTTCACTACGTATTATACACGCTACGGTATTATTATTATTATCGCTTCTCGGCACGGAGCGACAAAAAAAAAAAACTATAATATATCGCGTATTGTTCGGGTGGGTACACACAAAGTACGATGCGCTCGATATTATTATACGTGTATATTCGTCTGTGTGTGTGTATGTTCTCGTCGGTAATATTATCGCAAACGCCGCCGACAACGATGCCGTGTGGGTCGACGGGGAATTTATTTTATTTTTTTCACCATTGCCGTCTAATCGTCATCATCATCGTTGTACGACGCCGTCGTCGTCGCTACAGTATTATTACTATTATTATTATTATTATTACAACTGGTCCTACGCGTTACGGACGCGGCCTCGTTTTCGAGACCTCCCGCCGACGGGGGTATAGAAAGAAGAAGAGAAAAAAATATCCATTCCTTTTCCGACGGAACGAGGTCGTTCGTCGACGGTTACGGCTAATTCGCGGCGTCTGCCGACACCGCCGTTAGCGTGAAAAAAATAAAGACGCCGACGCAATAATCCCGGCCGCGCCCGAGTGAAAATATCGAAATAGTCGAAAAAAAAAACAACGCGCTTGGACGACTTGCCCGGCGAGGATTATTACACGTCGCGTGTGTCGTCAGCTGGTGAAAACGCGTTTACCGTCCGACACCCGGCCTCGGTCGAAACGCGTCCCGTGCTTTTGCAATGGGCGACCCGAATATCCTGTCGTTTCCTCGCCCGAAAAGACGCGGTCTCTTTCCGAGTTTTTCCCGCTCGGTGACGACGCGTACAGCTATTCGATTCCCACTACCTCCGCCGCACACCCGCCAACGGACCCACCCGACCGTAGTTTCTCTGTCCAGCGCGCGCGCGACAAGTCCGTGCCGGCTGTCGTTTTGTTTCGAGATCGCTTTCCATTGTTAGGGCGAAACAAAAACGAATAGAAATTCTTTGTCTAACGTAACCCCCCAAAAAACCCGCGCTAAACATTACGGCGCTACATAAACAGTTTAGTGTACACACATACATACATATGTATATTTGTACTTTTTTTTTTTTTTTTAACGTACGCGATTCTATGACGTTTAACGTGTTGTCCGCTTAAATGGAAGTTTGAAATAAAGCTTGCGATTACTTTGGTCGTTAAAAGTACCGTGTATAATATCGTAGCGGCGCGTGTTAATGGGCTTACGTACATTTTTTACACTTGATTTATTACAGAAATGCAAAAACACAATGCCAACGCGTAATATTTGTTTGTGCGCGACGTGTTGTTGACCGATCACGCGCGGATTTCTTTTTTTAACTCGCGCAATCCGTTCGTCTGCGGCCGGTGAAAGGATTTCGGTCCGGTATGTGTGTGTGTGTGTGGATGTTTTTGTTTCAAAACGAAAATTGCATTCGAAAAACCGCCGACGAGTAACAATAACAATAACCGGTTGGGTTTGGTCGGGTTTTATTATTTTTTTTTCATTACGTATTTCTCGTCCCGTGCCTTATCTCGCGTTACACGTGCTACCCCGCACATATAGCGCGGTCGGCTGCGCCACGACGACAATACATATATATATTGTAAGGTTTCAGCCAAACAGAGGGCCTACTAATTACCCACTGCCCAGGGGGAACACTGGACAGTGACCTAGTAGCCGCGCCAAACAAGATAGTACTTGTCGACGGAGCTACTAGGTTTTGATAAAAACAAATAAAAAACAAATATTAATAAAAATGAAGGAAAAATATAGGGAGAAAAATAAAAGAGGCCATGAATAATATAATAACATTTTTTTTTATAATTATTATTTTAAATATATATATTTTCATAAAGGGAAGAATAATAAAAAAAAAAAANNNNTATATATATATATATATATAGAATTGCGTGTATACGTATAGTTGCGGGTATTCATACAGTCGAGGGTATACATGTAGTTGCGGGTATACATAAAGTCGAGTTGCAGGTATATAGATGTGTGTATACGTCCGTTGGTCTCTCTCACGTGCATACGCGCGCGTTCTATGCGTTTTTATACGCGCGGTGTGCACGAAACACATATTTTCACATTGTTTTTTCCGATGACCCGATTTTGGGAACGCGCGCACCGACTACGCGTTAAGGCACAGGTATCGAGCGAATGGGGACGCGATAACGGCGGAAGCGAAAGCGAGAAGACGATAACAATTATTGGCGGCGTCACTACTCTCGACGATAATTATTACCCGACGTGTTACATTGTGGCCGTCGTTGTCGTGTGGAAAGCGGCGACGGTCGTAACGATATGACGCACGCACAAACACACATACACATGAGCCTACACACACACACACACACACACACCGCTCGTTTCAAAACCGACGACGTGATCAAACGCTGTGCACGCCAACAGGGTTTCCGAGAAAATAAAATGTTTCCGTTTTTATTATTATTCGTTTATTTTTTCTCGTCCTGTTGTTGCTGTCGTCGTCGAATTCGTTGTCGACGACGCCGCCGCCGACTTGCCCACCACGACCACCGCACGTCCCGTTTGGCCACCCAACGCAAAATCCGGCCGGGTCGCTTCTAAAACTTCATGTACTTCACGTGCGTATTTTATTCTCCGGTACGTTAAATCGAAAACAGAAAACGTATAAACAATCATTTTGTGTACGCCGCT